ACGTTTATCCACTTTGTTTTTATTTCAGGTGCCAATGAACTTGTCCGTCTTCCTTGGCTGTGAGGCAGAGACTGGCTCTTATTCAGCTCCCTGCCTCTAGTATCTGGCACAGGGCCTGGCACATAATCGGCATTGATAAATTTGTCGGGGCGTGGAGGGGTGAGGAGAGGGGAGATAAAAAGAATAATAATTTTAAAAAGCCCGGTCTATTTAGGAATTGATGTAGCTGAGGTATATTTAAGTGGCATGAAATAAAAGGACAACCTCAATAACTTTAGGAAAAAGCTGAACAGCTTATGGGCGTGTACAGTGGAAAATGAAGACCAGTCAAGAACCTTCCATCCTTTTGTACTGGTACCTCTGAGTTAGAGGTTAAAATCCTACAGGTGGATTAGAGAGTTCTTTTTTTTTTTTTTTAAATTTTATTTATTTATTTGACCGATAGAGATAAGTAGGCAGAGAGGCAGGCAGAGAGAGAGAGAGAAAGAGGAAGGGAAGCACGCTCCCTGCTGAGCAGAGAGCCCCATGAGGGGCTTGATCCCAGGACCCTGGGATCATGACCTGAGCCAAAGGCAGAGGATTTAACCCACTGAGCCTCCCAGGCGCCCCCTCTTTTTTTTTTTTTTTAGTTTTTTACAAATGATGATGATGATGGTATAAATAATACATGTCACTGTACAAATTCTGCAAAAACAGAGTAGAAACATAACCTGTAATTCTCTCACCCAGAGACAGCCACTCTTAGCATTTCATCTTGCTGCTTTTAGGCTCAGTTAAGTTTTAGTTTGTCTTTTACTTAACTTTTAAGCTTTTCTTCTTGGTTTATGTTGAAAAGTTTAAAAAGAGATTATTTCAGGGGCGCCTGGGTGTTTCAGTCATTAGGCGCCTGCCTTTGGCTCAGGTCATGATCCCAGGGTCCTGGGATCCAGCCCTGCATTGGGCTCCCCCCCGCTCAGCGGGAAGCCTACTTCTCCCTCTCCCACTCCCCCTGCTTGTGTTCCCTCTCTCGCTGTGTCTCCCTCTCTCTCTGTGTCTCCCTCTGTCAAATAAATAAATAAAATCTTTACAAAAGAAAAGAGATGATTTCAGGACTGCTTGAGAGTACAGAGAAGGTAAATTGCAGTTGGAATGGTCCTTGTCAACTGCAGTAAAAATTTGAGATGCTGTTTTTATTGTTGCTCGGGTGGGCAGTCAGCTAGCTGCTCAGGAAGCTGGTCCTAATCTTCCCCAGGTGGCTGCAGCCTCTAACCTAGAAGCTTCGAGGCCATTTTTTGTATTCCCCTTACACTGATTTGTATACATGCTTTTTTTTTTTTCTTTTTAAAGATTTTATTTATTTATTTGACAGACAGAGCTCACAAGTAGGCAGAGAGGCAGGCAGAGAGAGAAGAGGAAGCAGGCTCCCTGCTGAGCAGAGAGCCCGATGCGGGGCTCGATGCGGGGCTCGATGCGGGCTGGATGCGGGGCTGGATGCGGGGCTGGATGCGGGCCTCGATCCCAGGACCCTGAGATCCTGACCTGAGCTGAAGGCAGAGGCTTTAACCCACTGAGCTGCCCAGGCGCCCCTGTATACATGCTTTTATCTTTCTAGGAGGAGGCCACACTTGAACCCCTGACGCTTCACTGTGGAGGGAGTTAGGTTGACATAATTGAATGAGAATCTGTATGCAAAATGGATATTCCCCGCCCCCCCGCACCCCAGCCCCTGAAATACCACTTAGATCACATCACCTTTGAAAGCAAGCAAGGACATTTACGTTTATTCCTTTGTTGAAGAAACCTATTGAGTACTTCCTGTGTGTCAGTCACCCAGCCAGGAATCACTGCCTCAGAATGAAGACAAGTTTCTTGTCCTCAGGGAACTTGAAATGCTTAACAGAAAAAGAGGTAACCAGGTGTTATGATAAATGATATAATAATAGTCCAGTGATGTCCTAAAGAAGAGGGTGAGCAGAACTGACCAGAGAAGGTGTCAAGAGGAGGGGATGATTGGGGCACATGGGGGAGCTCGGTTGGCTAAGCGTCCTGATTCTTGATCTCTGCTCAGGTCTTGATTTCAGGGTCATGAGTTCAAGCCCCACACTGGCCTCCATACTGGGCATGGAGCCTACTTTAAAAAAAGAAAAAAGAAGAGGGGATGATTGAGTGGAATCTTAATGGAAAAGTGGGAGATTTTTGGCATGCAAACAGGCAGTGAGCACAGTATGTCCGATGAGTGAAGACACACTGGTGTATACCCCTGGGGAAGTAGAGGTCGTCTGGCCCATCTGGAATATGAGATGTATTAAAAATGGCAAATGAGGGGGAAATGAGAGAATGAATGTCAGAGCTTGGATTCTGTCTTACAGGCTGCGGGAAGCCTCTGAAGGATTTTAATCAAAAGCAAAGCCACAGTGAGGTATACTTTTCAGAAACATCGTCAGCGGTAGAAAGGGTGGTGGAATCGGGGTCACATTGGAGGCAGGGGTGTGGTTAGGGGATGTAGAACAGCCCCAGCAAAAGTGGGTAGGCAGATGTCCAGCAAGGCAAATTTATAGAGACAGTAAGTGAAACAGTGGTTGCCTGGGGTTGGAGGTGGGAACGGAGCAGGATAAAATGGGCAGGAGGGATCTTTTCAGAGTGATGGAAATGTCAAAAAATTGCATGTGGTGATAGTTGCACAGCTCTGTAAAGTCTCTAAAAAATCCATTGTACATTTAAAATGATTGAATTTTATAGTATGTAAATTATACCTCAATAAAGCTCCTTAAATAAAGAGAGAAAGAGGGGTTTCTCTTCTGGAAGGGCAGTAGCATTGAGAAAAGACGATGTGTGAACTGTTGATAAAGAAATAGCATTTATGAGAGTTTGACCTTGATTTTGTCTCACAGAGGCAGGGTGGTCATCTGTCGGGTCAGCCAAGTGGCCTTCCTGTGCTTCTGCACGTTTGTAAAAAGACCTCAACCCTATCATCTCCTTGGTAGGTTTCAAAGCATGTAGATCTGTCCTTAACTGGCAGTACAGAGTCTGTGCTTTCTGATCCTTATCAAGAAGGACCTGTGGTCCGTTCATTTCTCTCGGCACTGTTATCCAGCAGATGACTATCAAGTGCCAGGCATTGTGTGGGTAACGGGGCACAGGATCAAGCGGGTACAGTGTTTGCCTTCAGGGGGCTGATAGTCCAGCAGTGGGGACAGACATTACTTACAGTTAACATAACTGTTGTGTTGGATTTCCTTGTACAGTAAGAAAATGACATCAACTTGAGATCCAAAGGGTAATGCTGGGGTGGCAGTGGGGCTGTAGACCCCGGTCCCATACGTATCCAGCTGGCTTTCCTTGTTGGTGGGTGAGCCTTTTGAGTCTGGGCTACCCGGGGCTGTCTGGGGCCTTACATTATCTTGGTGTTCTGTAGAATTGCTTTATTGAACTATACGTTGGCTTCATTTTGTACACGCTCGTGTTGGAAGAAATAGCCTTAACCACATTCACACTCACTTACTACAGAAATGCTGTGGAAGTTACAGTCTTCAACATCATACAGCGTCCCCCTCTTACTATTGGGACCCACAAGAGAAATTTCCTCCTGATGACTCTTTGCTATTTGCTTTGCTATTTGGTCTTTTAGTCACTCTGAAGCATCCCATCCCATCGAGCTTCAGATGGTGACCTCTCTGCCTGGAATGCCTCGTTCCATTCTTGTTACGTTTAACTCCTGCTTCTGTTCAGCTGTTAGTTCCAGTGTGCGTTCTTCAGGGAAGCCTTCCCTAACCAACACCCACTCCCCTTCCTAACTAGGTCCGGGTGGCTTTTTTGTTTTTTTGTTTTTTTAATTTTTTAAGTAGGCTACACAACCAGCATGGAGCCTGGTGTAAGGCTCGAACTCACGACCCTGAGATTGAGACCTGAGATGAAATCAGGAGTCAGATGCTTCACTGACTGAGCCACCCAGGCGCCCCCCCTAGGTCTAGTTCTTTCTTTCTTTTCTTTTCTTTCTTTCTTTTTTTTTTTTTTTTTTTAAGATTTTATTTATTTATTTGACAGAGACACAGTAAGAGAGGGAACACAAGCAGGGGGAGTGGGAGAGGGAGAAGCAGGTTTCCCACTGAGCAGGGAGCCCGATGTGGGGCTTGATCCCAGGATCCTGGGTATGTAGGTCTGGTTCTTAATGGGAATGTTCACAGCACTCTTTTTGACTTAGTCAGTTTTGAGTTGGATGCCTTGTTGTTTGGTAACTTTTTTTGTCTCCTGTACTGATGGCAGGGAGATCCGTGAGGAGACTATGCTTTTTTGTTCGCTGCTGTATCTCAGAGTCATGGTATAATATCATGCCCAATCAATACTTCCTGATCGGTCAAATGAATGAATGCACTGTGGGCACTAAATCTTGTAACTGTTCATTTTCTCCTTTCCTTTGGTGATTTGGGAGCTCGGGCCTCCTGGATTCTACCTCTGGTTCCCATGGCATGCATTTTGTGGACTAACATTCCCCTGACTATATATTTCCTTTCTCGACTTCTTCATTTTTAAGTTCCAGTGTGTACTTTAAATTCCTGTAGGCCACTTAAAGCCCTTTTGGAGAAGAAATAATAAACAATTAGGTATATGAATAGGAAAAGAAAGGGAGAAGTCAAAGGGAAATGTTAGTGCCTTTAACCAGATGCAGGAGAGTTTCTGTTGCATTGCTTTAATTTTATTTTCATTGTAAGAAGGGGGAAAAAAAAAAAAAGATTGTCCCCTAATTTGGCAGGAAATGCCTCTGAAGAATATGGGGCCTGTCTCTGCCCTGAGATGTTCTTCCTGGTAGCGGAAGGCTCGGGGCTGGGCTCAGCAGGGCCTCATGGCCCAGTTGGGGGGTTGGGCACAGACCTGTGGATGCTGTCTGTGCATCTCAGTGTTCCAGTCCAGTTGACTTTCCCCTGGGGGAGGGTTTGGGCAGAGTTGGTGGGAGCTTTTTTTTTTTTTCTTCTTTTTTCCCTCTAAGAAGGAGAAAGAAATGAACTTGTCCTCTTGTGTTGCAGACTCAGTGGTTCTTTCCTTTGACTCCGCTGGACAAACACTAGGCTCAGGTACCAATCCCTCCCCCTCTATCCTTTCAGCACTCAGCACTTGGCCACATTTGAAGTGGAGCCTGGTGAGGTGGGGGGGCGGGGTACCCGGGGAGGGCAGTGGTATACCTCAGACCTGTGGGAAAGTCTTCAGGAGCTTTTCTGGGGACTCATGGTTTAGAAAGTGGGACGCAACATCCAGAAGACTTGGCCAGCTGCTTGAACAGCGGGCACCTGGGGGACTGTGGGTAGATGCTCCCTCCTCGTTCAGAGTGTTCCAGGTTCCCATAAAGGGTGTGTGTTTTCTGAGCATATACCGTGGCCCGGAGAGTGGGGCAGAGGTCATTGAGAGGCCCCACGCTCTGGGGACGCTAGAGAAGATTGTCATCGGGGCTCTCCAACTCAGTGTCAGGCCAATGGGAGTACGGCAGCTTCCTGAGGATATGCACATCCCATATACTGAAATACACACCTCCTCTGGGATGCGCACTTCACCATGCACTTGTGCCAACCCACGTGCTGGCCGACAGATGCCCTCTCTTCCCCGAGTCTAAGCGCAGGACATACAGGCTGACAGACCCACTCCTTGGACACCAAATCCCTCCAGCTCAGTGGAGCTTGACTCTCCTAGGTCTGAGGCCGTCTTCCTGCTTCACACCACTGTGCTGTTGGCGGTGAGCACAAAGAGACATCACTTTGGGTCTTTGGCTTGCTGCCATTACGTTGGTGTGGGAGCATCAGGATGACCCTACTGTGTGAGAAGAGCACCTCCAGGCATCACACCTGCGTTTTTAGTCAAAGATGGTGGTTCTCGTATTGGTGGGTGCCGCCTGTAACAGGGAGGCTTGGCTGGCATGATGAGGGCAATGAATCCATTTCGCTGTCCTCAAATGCAGTAGATATGATCAGTGTTTCACAAAGCAGCCCTGATGTTCTGGCAGCTGTGGATGAGGGGAAAGAGTAGTTCGGAGGAAGCAGTCACGGCTGCCCCTGTTTACTAAGGGCTTTCTGTGTGCCAATGCCGTGGTAGGAGCTTCAGACACATCTTGCAAGGTAGATAGTGTATCTTTGATTATAGATGAAAGAAACTGATGCTCTGAAAGGTAAAATAACCTGTCTGGGCCAGTCAGATCCATCCACCTCTGCAGCTCGTACTATCTCCCTTGTTATCTTGCTGTCTCATGCCTCATGTGCTTGAGATGTACTCCACCTAAATGCTGAGACAAGAGAGATCACTTTAAGAGAGAGTGGACAGGGGCACCTGGGTGGCTCAGTGGGTTAAACCCTCTGCCTTCGGCTCAGGTCATGATCCCAGGGTCCTGGGATCGAGCCCCGCATTGGGCTCTCCTCTGAGCAGGGAGCCTGCTTCCTCCTCTCTCTGCCTGCCTCTCTGCCTACTTGTGATCTCTATCTGTCAAATAAATAAATAAAGTCTTAAAAAAGAGAGTGAACAAAACACAAAAATAAAATTAAATTTTAAAAAAAGACTATAGGTAATGTAAATATCAAGAAACAGGTCATATGGGGCACCTGGGTGGCTCAGTGGGTTGAGTCTCTGCCTTCAGCTCAGGTCATGATCTCAGTGTCCTGGGATTGAGCCCTGCATCGGGCTCTCTGCTCAGCGGGGAGCCTGCTTCCTCCTCTCTCTCTGCCTGCCTCTCTGCCTCCTTGTGATCTCTGTCTGTCAAATAAATAAATAAATAAAACCTTAAAAAAAAAAAAGAAACAGGTCATATAATGTGTTCAAAATATGTCATTAAAATCGGTTTTATGGTATGTTGATAAAAATTCATGTAGGATTAAGAAAAAAAAAGAGTGGACAGAGAGAAAGTTTTTAAATAGACACAGAAGTTGTGTCTACTTTTATAGGAAAAGATTGATCAATTTTATTACATTCAAGTTAAAAACTTCTTATTAATCAGAAAGACACCTTTAAGAGAGTGATAAAGGCAATCCAGGGCAGAAAAAAGATCTTTGTAACACAAACAACCAACAAGGGCCACATTTCCAGGATGAAGAGCTGCAGAAATCAATAGGAATAAAGAAACAACCCGGTATCAAAACAAGCAAAAAGGCCTAGGTAGGCACTTCACAAAAGAGGAAATCCAGATGGCGAATAAACTTATGAAAGGGTGTTTGATTGCATTTTGCATTGCAACCTGGGGAAAGGCAAATTGGGATTTCTGTGAGATCCCTCTGCACCTCTACCAAAATGGGAAAACTTTGGAAAAGCTTGCTATTCCAGAGTTGGTGAGGACGTGGTAGAGTGGAAACTCTAAGCCTTTACTGGCCAGAGGGTAAGTTGGTTACAACCTTTTCACAAATGACCATGTAGTATCTAGCAAAATTCGAATAGACACATATCTCATGACCTGGTATTTCCTCTCATAGCTGTATTCCCTACATAAGGGCATGCTTCTGTAGGTACCAAGATACGTGTACAAGACACATGTACAAGAAACTCTGTCATTGGATGCAGCTAAAGGCCTGGACAGGTGCATTTAGCAGCTGTTTGAGGACTCTGAGATATGAATGGCAGCAGACAGATTGGGGAAAAAGACTAGAATTAAACATGCTGCACACTGGCAATGAATTTCTCATTTTTCCACCAGTGTCCCATGAATTTCAGAAGACCTCTAGTTAGGGCTCTTGGGCAGGAAAGGGGCTCTGAGGCTCAGGCAGAGGAGAAGTCCCAGGGGTTCTTTTCCTCTGTTCTCTTGTGCCCTAGTCACCCGGCTGTCCCACAGTAGTTGTGGTGGTGGTGGGTTCAGTGGCAGCAGTGGTCTTCAAGCCCCTAAAACTGAGAAAGGGAAACCTTCCTCTCTGATCAGAGGATGTGTAATCCCGGGAGGGCGGGGTGAAATCGGCTGCCTTTTTCTCCTCTGCCTTCCTGCTGGTTGGATTTGGGTACAGTTTAGGAAATGTGTGACAGAATATGGTAACTAAGATCCCAGCTTTCAGGCCAGAGAACCAAGAAGGGGAGGCCCAGTGAACTGGAAGGTACAAGGAGAAAATTGAGAGGGAAGAACTCAAAGTGGTTCCAGAAAATTACATAGGACCTTCTGGGCTAACCCCTGAGCTACGCATGTATGCTTCTGATCCTAACCAACATACCAAAGACTTTGAGAACTGATCTGAAAGATAGACCACTGCCTGAGTCCCAGACTGGACAGTGGGTGGCGACACAGAGGACACACATGAGTGGGTTTTGACATTCAAACCACAGTCCATGGAAGGCTGGTCAGAACTCGCCCCCTAAATCCAACCTGGTTAAGAGTCTGGTAGAAAAGAAAGGTCAACATTGCCCACTGGATTTATTTATTTAACTTTTTTAAAAAAGATTTTATTTATTTATTTGACAGAGAGAGAGCACAAGTAGGCAGAGAGGCAGGCAGAGGGTGAGGGGGAAGCAGGCTCCCTGCCGACCAGAGAGCCTGATGTGGGGCTCGATCCCAGGACCCTGAGACCAAGACCTGAGCTGAAGGCAGATGCTTAAGCCACTGAGCCACCCAGGCGCCCTTATTTACTTTTTTTAAAAGATTTATTTATTTTAGAGAAAGAGACTGCGCGAGCAGGGGACGGGGCCAAGGGGGAGAGAGAATCCTCAAGCAGACTCTGTTGCTAAGCACAGAGCCTGCTAAGCACAGAGCCCAACACGGGGCTCAATCCCAGGACCCTGAGATCATGACCTGAGCTGAAACCAAGAGTCAGAGACTTAACTGACTGAGCCACCCTGGTGCCCCCTTCCCCAGGATTTAAGCTAGAGCTAAAGTTTCATCACTTCATATTCAAAATATCCAAGGTATAATCCAAAATTATTACCATGTGAAGAACCAGGAAAATCTCAACAGAGATGTTGGAATAATCTGACAATGACTTTAAAATGGCTATTATAGGGGCGCTGGGGTGCCTCAGTGGGTTAAAGCCTCTGCCTTCAGCTCAGGTCATGATCCCAGGTTCCTGGGATCGAGCCCCACATCGGGCTCTCTGCTCAGCGGGGAGCCTGCTTCCTCCTCTCTCTCTCTCTCTGCCTGCCTCTCTGCCTAATTGTGATCTCTGTCAAATAAATAAATAAATCTTTAAAAAAAATAAATAAAATGGCTATTATAAAAATGCTCTACAAAATGAGAGCAAACAGTGTTGAAACAAAAAAGATAGAAACTGTTAGGCCCTCCCCCCACCACCAAAAAAAAAAATAAATAAATAAGAAAGAACCAAATGGAGATATAGGGGAAAAAATACAATACTGACATTTAAAGAAACTCAACTGAATGGACTCAGGAATAAAATAGAGATGAAGAGGAAAGAATCAATGACCTTGAAAGGAAATCAATAGGAATTACCCAGTGTGAACCACAGAAGAAGAAAGAGTTAAAAAGTTGAGCAGAGCCCCAGTGATACATGGGGCAACACCCGCTTACTGTCTCCCGTTGGAATCCTAGAAGAAGAGGAACAGTGCAGTACAGAAAAGTCACTCAAAGGAATAACGCCTAAAACTCCCCAGATTTGGTGCCCACGTGGGATTTATCCTGCAAATGAAAGGCTGGTTCATCATTCAAATGTCAGTCAATGTAGACCGCCATATTTACTGTCTAAAGAAGGGAAACTACATGGCCGTGTTAATTGGTGAAGAAAAAATATTTGACAGAAATTCAGCATCTACTCCCAATTTAAAAAAAACTCTCAGTGAACTTAGAAGGGAACTTCTTCAGCTGGATACAAGGCATCTCCAAACAACATACAGCAAACAGCAGGCCTCATGGTGAAAACCTGCTTTCCCTCTGAGATCCGGAACCACTCTTGCAAGTCCTAGCTGGTGCAGGAAGGCAAGAAAAAGGAACAATGAGAGCACAGATTGGAAAGGAAAGAATAAAACTGACCCTCCTCATAGGTGACATGATTGCCTGCATAGAAAATCTCAAGGAATCTACCAAAAAACCCCCTCCTAGAACTAGTAAGTGAGTTTAGTGAGATGATGCGATATAAGATCAAAGCATAAAAAATTAATTATATCCACTCCC